GATTATTTAGATTTTTTTGGTTACATAATGAACTATTTATGAGAATTCTTGTTTTAAATTTTCAATCCTTAGCAATAAAAGTTGAACATTTTATAAATTTTTAACTACTAAATAGTAGTAATTTGTAAATTATCAATTTGATAAATTTTGTTTAAATTTTAATTACTTATAAAAAAATCGTGCCTATGGATCTTTATTGTTTCTCAACTGCTACTTATGATGAAACCTTTATTACATTTTCATATTATAGGTAAACTAAGACATTTTGTAGAAATTTGAACTTTAAAATATGTCTATAAAAAAAAACGTGCCTGTATATTTCTAATATTTTTTAGCTGCTATTATATCACCTTACGAAGAACTTTGTATTATTTTTAAGCTTTTTGACTCAACGAATAACATTTTATTGACATTTATAGAATACATATAACTAAAAACGTTTCATAATTATTCATGTGTCTATAAATCACTGAAAACGAGTCGAAATATTTTGAAAATTTTGTAATGTATAGAAAATGATAGTTTAACCATTTGATGGATATTTTAAATACCGACGGTCAATAGTTGTTGAATAACAAGAAAATCAGAAAATCGTTATATGAGAATCATATACAAATCATTGTAAAATTAAAACATTCATTGCTCCCGTATAGTCCGCTCTAAAAAAAAAACTAACACATAATAGTTAGGTAGGTATAATACAAATTAAACATTATACATATTATAAAATATAATATCTGTAACGCTTAGGTCATAACTCATAAGAATATCGGAATATTGTTGAACATTTTACTGCAGGCTGCGTGTTATTTCAGAGATGGTATTCGTCATTCAACATTTGCCAACCGTGTATAAAATATCATAAGCAGAATGAAATGTGTGAACGTTGCAGTGTTTGGAAGAATAAGACTTTGATAGCAGATTTTGATTCGGACACGGGGTATGTATTTTTTTATTTTTCAGTAGGTTTCTTTTTATTATTATTATTGTTAATTTATCAAGGGATGTATTGGCCGTAACTTTTCAATTATTTGTATTGTAACTATACTGGTATAACACTATTCTGGCTATCAATAAAGTCGTGATAAAAATTAGGAAATTGGTCGGATATGATATTTTCATCGCCTAAATTTGTAAACTTTCTCACTCTTTTTTTGCTTACACTTTTTTTTGTGGTTGTTATGGTCAAATAAAAAAATTAATTTATCCTTATGCTAAAAAATAAAAGTACATAAATGATTATTTAATAATATTACTCTTATTACACTATTCTATCTCGACACCTTATTCTTAAATTTATTAATTAATTACTATACATGGAGGTAAAGTGATATCGTAAGATTTTTTACGCACTGAAAATCGTTAGAATGCTATACGGGTAACAAAATTTGATAATGTGCTAGAAAAAATTAAAACTGTTGTAATTGTGCTTGCTGTACATAACTTAATTGAGGTATGATATTCTTATTGTATTTCCTTTTAGTATCTATTTTATTTTGCTGATTTTTGATTTACTGAGCTACTATTTTATTAGTACTTCGTAGACTATTTCGAATACTGCAATTCAACATTTGCTTGTGTTTACCTTATTAATTTTACGTGTCTCATTTAAAAAATGTATATACATGGTATTCTTAATATATATTTACCAAGTAAAATTCAAATTCACATTTTTATGTGTTGTAATAAAAACATTTTGTATGTTTTCATTAGGCAAGCATATTCGATAATAATTTTATTTCTTTTCCCACATTTATTATACGTTATATTTATTATATACAATATACATTTTATACTATAATTACAATTATTCTAATGCATTATTTAACGTTCTTTATATTTTTTTAACTGACTAACATGTTTGTATTCGTTTACTAACTGTCCATTTTTAATTATTTCTACTACATAAGTTACATCCGATACTTGCTTCATTATTTTAAACGGGCCGTTGTACCTGTAAGCAAATTTAGATTTTCTATTTTCGTCTTTAATCAGTACTTTTTCGTTTAATTTAAAATTTACCTGTACCTTATTTGAGTCATAATGTTTTTTATTTTTTAAATATCTGTCCGCTAATAATTTTCTGAGTTCGTCTCGAATATTTTTTAATTTTTCTAATTCCAGTAAAATTTCGGGGGATGTTTCTGTACTTATAAAGTTGTGATCAAATATGGATTTTGGATTATATCCGTGTAATAGGTAAAACGGTGTGTTTTTCGTTGTATCATTAATTGCTGTGTTATACGCAAATAAGTACATATTTTAAGTATAGACTCCATTTATTTGGTTGTTCCTGTACAAAGTGGCTAATCATATCTATCAAAGTCCCGTTGAACTTTTCTGTCTGGCCTTGGCTCTGTGGACGGTATGCAATTGAATATGTGTTATTTATATTTAGCGCTTTTAGTAAGTCTTTCACCAATTTATTTGCAAAATGTAAGCCTCGGGCAGAGTGTATTTCGCCTATTGCTCCGAATTGTAAATTATATCTATTAAATATGCGACTGTAGACCTTGAGTCAGCGTTTTTGTATGATTTTGCTATAGCGTATTTTGTAGTTGCGCAAGTTCCTACCAAAATATATGAGTTGCCATTGCTTGGTGGATTAATTGGCCCAATATAATCTATTGTAAATCGTTGAAATGGTATACCAATAATTTTTGGTGATGTTAGCATTTGACCATAGGTCGCTTTTTTATCGGATTTCCTTTTTTGACAACTAATGCATGATGTTACATATTTGCGTACGTCTTTATATATAGTGGGCCAAAAATATCGTTGAATAATTTTATTGTATGTCTTGTCTATGTCTAAGTGTCCTGATAAGGGGTGATCATGGAAATCGTTTAAAATTTCATTTTTACGGTTGTCTGGTAATGCTATTAAATGTATAGATTGCCCCTTAGCTAAATGTTTATACATGAGTATTTGGTTTTCATTTATAAAATAATTTTTTGATTTTCTTATCCATATATGGGCTGAAAGTTCTGGGTTCTGTATTGCTTTAATAATATTTGCATATGTATCATC